GCACGAGGACCAGGGTACGGTCTGGAGGTAAAGCACGCGGCAAGGAGAGGAAGGAACGGCGAGCCCACGCTGTACTGGACTACGCGAGGGACCACGGGACGGGAGTGTTTGGGGGACGGACGAGGAGAGCGATTAGACCGTGGGGTGCGCCGCCGCCGCGTTTCTATTTCTGGGAGGAAATCGTTTAAAAATAAAACCGACACCGCGCACTTTCTTGAAAACAAACTGTGCGCCCGCCGCCTCTATACGGCACACGGCGCACAGCCTTCGGAACGTAACAGCATAGAGGCGAGAGACAACCCCACTTGTCCTCGCGATTTCTCTGTTTTGTGTAACTTTGTCATCTTTCCCCCGACAGTCGAATTGATCCTGCTGCCGACCGGGCTCCCAGCTATAGCGGGAGCCCTTGTAGTCGAGGGAGATAAGCTATGAAAATGTTCTTAACGGCGGCGGCAACAGCGGAGATAAGCTGCACCGTAAATTAGAGGCTGGAGAGACAGCTGGGCGGTGTGTGGCGGTTCACTCACTTTTACTTTTTTCGCGTGCAGTTTGTTTTTTTCACAAAGAGACAGTTGAAGCGTGCTGCATCTTTCCAATCTCCAATCGGCAAATGTTTACGATTTACGTCCAAAGTGGGTCGTTTGGGTGCATCGGGACGTGTCCGCCGTGCGCACGCGCGTCCCTCTGATACCGGCGCTGTTTGTCAGTTGAGCCACGCACCCTTCTCCGGCGGTGGAGGGGGTTTGGGCTCAGGTGCCGCGATGCTGCGGGGGCGTGGTGGGGGGAGGAGGAAGGCAGCTGGAGCGGTGTCTGGGATCGCCTATTACTTATGTATTACTCCATCACTACAAACGGCGTCCTCCTGGAGGTCGGCGCCCGTACGGCCGCACGGCGCGGCGCGACCTGACCGTACGCACGGGAAGGGGCGGGTCACCCCGCCCCACCCCGCCGCGCCCCACCCCGTTTGCAGCGAATCAGTCTAACTGGGCGATCGCAATGGGGCTGTCGTGACACGCGGCGGCGCTGTGGAGGGTGCACGCCGGGCGCGTCGGGCCCGCCACGCACCGCTGCTCGGCGGGCTGGCCTACCGCGCCGGCGGCGAGCTCCCCGCGCTCCGCTCCCCACATTCGAGGGAAGGAGATGGACTGACGTGGCGGGGCGGGGCGGGCGGGGCGCATCAATGCTGCATGGCGCCGTGGCCCACAATTCAAAGCCCGGCAGCTGCGTCCCCCCCGGCTCGGGCAGACCAAAGGGCCGGTGGCCAAAGGGGCGGACAGCCGCTCGGGCGAGAGAGCTCGGGGGCAGCAGGGGGCCGGGGACCGGAGAGCAAGGGAAGTCCCAGGGGCGCAGGGGGCGCTTTGTGTTTGGACGTGAGAGATAGCGTCTTGATGAAGTGCGCGGGGCTTGGCCAGGCTCGCGCGGGGAGGAGGGGGGCGGTGTGATTGCCTCGCCGATTTAACCCTGTTCACACAACAAAAATGATTGAGGGCGTACAGTGGGGAGGGTGGCGCTTCCCCCTCTCCTCCTGTGACATCGCATTATCACAGTGTGATGCCCTTTACTCCTAACAGCGTTTCCTTTTCAATCTGGCCTGTGCACCGCCGCCGCCTCCATCTGCGGCATCACCGCGGTTGACGGCGGTGGTGGGGCGCGAAATGTCGGTCGATGCGACAACACCAGTCGGGTACTTCGTACCTCTTATTGATGTGTCTTGGTGCTCTAAAATAGTTTGGGTAGTGATGGCATGCTCCCCCCCCCCTCCCTGTCGCGCCCAGGGCCCGGTTCAACACCACTGGTCGCGGCGTGTAGGGCGTGTCCGGCCGCGGCCTCCCGCGGACCCTGGTGTACCCCGCCCCGTCCGGCCGTCCCGGTCCATCGGCCACACCATGACACCCGCACTCTGCTCTGCACTCTGCAGCCTCACTCAGTCCGTGTCCGACAGGTCAGCAGGCTGTGCTGTGCTGCCCGTGCGACTTCCGACGACGACCACCACCACCTAGCAGCCCCCCTAGGCTCCAGGATGATGCACCCAGTGGACAGCTGGACCGTGTCGGACCACACGGTGGGCTCGCCGACGGCGGGCATTGTTGCCTCCATGGCGTCCAGAGCCGTCGGATCAGTGCCGTAAGTAAAAGGGAGGGAGGCCTTAGGGATCGTCCAGAAAGTACGTCCGTTTTATCTCACTCATTCGTCGAATTTCGGGAGCTGAGCGCCTGCGAGACTCGGGGTAGGCCACCCAGCAGTAGACGCATGCACTGCAGACAAGATGTTGCCTACCCAACAGGCGCTAGGAGCGCCTGCAGAGACTAAGCTTGGTAGTTTCGAAACTGTGAATGACGGACGTACTTACTGGATGACCCCTTATGCCTATGGTACTGTTGGAACCAGAAAGAAGTGATTTCCGAAACGACGTCGAAACTATGGCGGTTTGATGAACCATTTCGCACTGGGAACCCCTTTAAGTTCAGCCCCCCCCCCCCC